TATAATATTTAATTATTTTGATGTAAACAGATTAATATATTATTAAAATTGAATTATTTATATTTTTACTTTAGATATTCTTATCAGTTATACTATAAACTTACACTCTATTGTAATATTGTTTGTGTTAATAAAAGTAATTAGAATTAAATTATTAATATTTTTGATAAACCAATTTTTTCAGTTATATTATCAACTTACTTTCTATAGTATTTAATTGTGTTAATATATTATTAGAATTGAATATCAATATCTTTGACATGAAAAATATATTATCAGTTTATACTGTTAGCTTACTGACTATTTTAGTAGTGTCAACAAAACAAAAATGATATGTTATTTAAGATTGAATTGTTGGTATTTTTGACTTGAAAAAATTTCTTATTTATTATACTATTAACTTACTTGCTATATTGTATGATTATGTTGATAATTCAGAAAAAAGCATTTTATTAGAATTAATTATAATATTTTTAACTTAAAAAATATTTTTATCGACTTACGAGCTATATTGTTTGATCACATTGATATAATGGAAGTAATATGTATTAGAATTAAATTATTGACTTCTTGGCTTAAAAAATATTCTTATTAGTTATATCAACTTACCGACTATTATAGTGTTGTTTGATTATGTTGTTATAACGGATTATTATATTATTAAAACAAATTATCAAGATTTTTGATTTGAAAAATATTTTATCAATTATATTGTTAACTTACAGACTATATTGTAAGTGTTGTTTGATTGTTTTAACATAATGAATATATGCGTAATTAGAATTGAATTATCAATATTTTTGGCTTAAAAAATATTCTTAGTAGTTACACTATTAACTTACTAGCTATAAAATTGATTGTGTTAATATAACGATACAGTATAATATGTTAATAGAACTGAATTATCAATATTTTTAACTTAAGAAAATATTCTATCAGACATACTAGCTACGTATAATATTTTATTGTGTTGATGAAACAGATGTAATATATTACATATTAGCTTTAAGTTATTAATGGTTTTGACTGAAAAAAAAAATACTCTACAGTATTACTTACTCACTATAGAAATGTTTGTGTTGATGTAACAAGCATAATATATTATTAGAATTGAATTGTCAAGATTTTTGACTGAAAATAATCTTTTTTGTTAACTTACCGACTATTGTATTGTTGTTTGATTGTATTAAAATATCAAATATAATGTTATTAGAATTAAATTATCGATATTTTTTGACTTGAAAAAATTCTTTTCAGTTATACTTTAACTTACATTCTATAGTGTTTGATTTGTTAACATAACAGATATAATATTTTATTGTTAATAAAATTGAATTATTGATATATCTGATATAAAAAAGTGTTTTGATTAGTTATATTGTTAACTTACCCGCTACAGTGTTTAATTGTGTCGACAGAACAGATATAATATATTATAAGAATTGAATTATGAAAATATTCTTATCAGTTATGCTATAGCTCACCGACTATCGTAGCGTTGTTTGATTGCGTTGACGTAACAGAAGTAATATTTTATTAGAATTGAATTATCAATATTTTTGACTTAAAATATTCATATAATTTATACTATTAACTTACTCGCTATAGTGTTTGATTGCATTGATAGAATGGAAGTAATATGTTATTAATTTGAGAAATATTTTTGTGAGTTATATTGTTAACTTACAGGCTATAGTGTTATATTGTGTTGATATACAGAAGTAATTTGTTATTAGAATTGAATTATCAAAATTTCAGTTATACTGCTAACTTACGTTCTGAAGTGTTTGATTATATTGATATAATAGATGTTATTATAATCAAATTATCGGATATATTTGATTTGCAAAATACTCTTATCAATTATACTGTTAACTTACGACCTATAGAGTTTGATTGTGTAATGTAACAGATGTAGTATGTATTAGAATTGCATTATTGATACTTTTGACTTTAAAAATATTATCAGTTATACTATTAACTTACTGACTATTGTAGTGTTGACACAACAGATGTAATATTAGAAATGAATTATCAATATTTTTGATTGAAAAATATTCTTAACAGTTATAATGTAACTTACAAACTATTATGGTGTTGTTTAATTGTGTTAATATAAAAGTAATATTTTATTAGGATTGAATTATCAATAATTTTGACCTGAAAATATTATTTTATTATACTGTTAACTTACACACTGCAGTTTTAATTGGGTTGATATAACAGATATGTTATTAGGATTGAATTGTTGATATTTTAATATAAAAAATATTTATTACTTATACTATTAACTTACTTGCTATAGTATTTAATTGTGTTGATATAATAAATATAATTATGTTATTAAATTGAAACATCAATATTTTTGAAAACTATTATTATTGGTTGTACTGTCAACTTACCGGCTATTTAATGTCGTGTTTATGTGTTAGAATTGAATTATCGACATTATAACCTGAAAAATATTCTTATTAGTTATACTATTAACTTACTTGACATAGGTTTGACTGTGTTGATGTAACATATGTAATATGTTATAAGTATGAATTATCAATATTTTTGACTTGAAAAAATCCTTATCGATTATACTGTTAACTTACCGACTATTGTAGTGTTATTTGATTGTGTTGACATAACAGATATAATCCGTTATTAGAATTGAATTATCATTATTTTTAACCTGAAGAAAACTCTTACGAGCTATAATGTTGATCATGTTGATGTAACAGATGTAATATTGTTTGAATTGAATTGTTGATAATTTTTTGACTTAAATATTCTTATTAGTTATACTTTATCTTACTTGCTATAGTGTTTGATTATGTTGACGTAACGGATACAATATATTATTAGATGAAAAATTTTGTTTAATTATTAAGTAATTTTAAGGCTTATTCTACTTACGCTTCTTTAACTAATTCAATGCCCATTCATCATTTGGTTTAATTTTTAATAAATTCTCCAAGTCGTCAATCGATCCAATATACTTTCTCGTTAAATAATTAACTTCTCCTCGATATCTTAACGCTATAATATTATCTTGCTCAATTTTTAGCAATTTAGTGAAATCTTCAAGTGCTTCTTCATATCTGCCTATAATAAAATAGATTCTTCCTCTCTTGCTTAAGTCAATTGAATTACTTGGATTTTTACCCAATGTTTTGGTAAATTTGTCAAGAGTTTCTTCATATTCAAGTCCGAATGCATTATTTAATTTATTACTAATATCTTTATAATTCATCACTATTAGTAAAAGTAGACTACATAAGTATTAAATAATATTAATCAATAAAAAAACGATTATTAATGAATTCTATAAATAACTTTCCGGAATATTTAAACTCTCTATCTCCAAAATTTGCTTCTACAGATCCTAATTTTATTGGTTAGATAGCTAATATAAAAAGTTACCAAATACTATGATTTCACTAAACTATAATAGTAACTACATATAAAAGTCAAACCTTTGCTAAGTTGATTAATATTTACATTTTAAGTAAAGTTGTTCAGAAAACAAATTGCATATACTGTATCTTGAAATTTTTATATAATTCGGATACTTTTTATTATATTATTTTCGGAACAACTTTACTTAAGACATAAATATCAATTAACATAGTAAAAATTTGACTTCTACGATTACTATAAAAACAACTTTTTGTCTGATAATCAATTTTGATTGGCTAAAAGGCATTAGATTATCAGTTAACAAATGTTAAATGACCTTCTATAGGTCATTTGAATGTGAAATGACCCAATGACCAGTCACTAGTCATTTGGGCCATTTGGGTCATTTCAAGTCATTTACCATCCCTGACCCAGGGTATAGCTGATTTACACTCTATGACCATGATATAGATCTCTTAGAAACTGGACATATACCGTATCTATCGGACGTGGGTACCCGGGTATTTACATATCTCGATCTTTGTACTGGGTACTTCTACGCTATATTGAACAATATATTTTACTAATATACCATACTTATATACCCGGGTATAAATCATCGTCCAGCTCTTTAAAACGGGTAGAGGGTAAACACCATGGGTGTACCCACGTCCAATAAATACGGTACATTTAAAAGTAATTCTATTACTGCAGGTTTATTATAATGCCCATGTAAATAAAATTGTTTTCCAGAACAAATCATGAAAGTGGAAAATTTCATGCTGTATTGTATAAAGTCCTTAAGTAACCCGTAAAAAAAAACCAAAAATGTGTATGATATATCTGCCATTCAATAACATGCAGATTTTGCACAAAGTTGCCGCAAGACCTAAACGCTCTAATATTCAGACAAAAGCCCCACATGCTCTATTGAAGCCTATCACTTTAAAGTTTAGATTTTGTGTGTTGGCTGTTATTGGTTGCTATTTAAATCAACCCAGTAGTAGTCACAACTTTTGCAACGTAATAAGTTTCATCATAATTCTTCAAGGTACTCTCAGGTTTTTCATTGCTGTCGATTCTGTTCAAACTCTAAAACTTAAATACAATTCAAATTTAAATTATATTTTTTAGTACATCGATACACTGATACGTAGTTGATTAAAAGAATGCACCTAAAATTAGATCTCAAATTTTTTGGGTGTGAATAGAATCGACAGCAATGCGCTTTGCATCACTATATGTATGTCGTGTGTCAAATTAAAGTAAATCAGTTATTATCCATGAAGTGTGCAATAATCAAAAACTATAATTCCTCAAAATATTAAAAAATCAGCCAAGAATGTTTTCGCTCGGGTTACCCAATTATAGTTATACGGGTTGACTAATTTGCAACTCTTCAAATCTTAATAACCACTTAGGAATATATAATTTGGATAACTTATTTTTTATCAGAATTGTCAAGATTATTTATTATTAATAAAAATTATCATAAACAAAATGTTAAAATGTGAAATTAATTGACAAATTCACCATGTAAGAAATCTTTTATATAATAAATTTATATATTTTTATATGATCGTTTCTGAAATCAATAAAACCTAATAAATATTTTAAAGCTTATTATAGTCTTTAATCTTTAGAATTTGTCCGAATGAATTGTAAGTAACAGATTTTTCTTCACCAATATCAACTTTAAATTCTATATTATTGAAAAAAATAACACTGATAAGAAAATTTTGTGGGCATTGCGGCAGATATTCATTTGAATTCTTTTTATCAGATATTCTAATAATTTCCAATTTAAGAACTTTATTGGACCATCCAAGCAATCTAAAATTTTGTTTTGGCGGATTATTGGAAGCTGTATATGATGCTACAAATGAAACAATACAATTTACTTCCAATGAAAATGGCATAGTTATAAATACAAAGCTGTTATCATATTTTATATCCTCATCGGTTGTTTTATAACATGTAATCTTTGTTTCACAATGGACTTTGGAAAAAACGCCCAATTTTGCGGGTTTTCCAACCACCATCCAGATAATATACCTGAAATATACATTGAAAAGTAAGATTTAAAAGAATGAGCTATTCAACTATTGAGAAAGTCTAAATGAGAAAGTCGAAATTAACCAATATACCGACCCTCTTTCAATATCCCACATTGTACTCTGATCAAAAGTTACGAATGCTGAAAATCCGTAAAAATCAAATAGATCAAATCTCACAACACAGTTTTCCAATTTAACGTCGTTATTATCGAAGACATGTCCAAATACATAAAACGAATTACTATCAAGAGATCTACTATTGAAATTTATTCTAAAATGTGCCTCTGTATGATTTTCAATCACATTATTAGCTGTTATTCCTGTTAGTACAATTCTTGAACTCGATCCATTTTTTAAAACAATTTCAACCTCATTTTGTAATTTGTCATCCAAAATTTTATATAAAGGCACAAGATTCATTCCAATAATTTTAAAGTGTTTATCATCATTGCCATACTCACTAAACCAATTAAATATTTCGTATTTTTTTTTTGTCTGTCCATTTGACGTTAATAAACATTTAGCATCAAAGCAATTTGCTTCTTCTTTAAATACTTTGTCAATGTCATATTGTGATGTTGCAGTAAATTGCTTCTTAAGATTAATAGATTCATTGGTAGAATTATAAAAACTTTCTTTAGCTTGATTTCCTAAAATAATCTTTCTTGGTAAAAAATGCCCAAATTCGTCAAATAATTTTCGAAGCGCCTTATATGGTTTAATATCATTTAGAGCATCCTCCGTGGCTTTCATAAAATTAGGTAATGTTGAGAAACATCGGTCTTCGATATATATTTCAAATTTTTTATTTTGCAAAGATAAATAAATAGTGTCAGTTGGTTCCATTTTTTCTAAAATAATTTGTTCTATGAACAAAATTAAACTTGAGTCATGATCAATATTATTTTCTGATAGAATTTCTTCTACGCTAGTTTTTGGATGAATAATTTGCAAACAATAATCATCAATTTTAGAAACAGTTGTTCTTGGCGTAAAAGTTACTGCACTCTTTTAGCCGGAGAGATTCCAAACTGGTCAATTAATATTCCGTTATTAAAATGATATTTATCAATCCATGTAAGCAAATTTGCTGATGGTAAATCACTAATCCAATCATTAAAAGTTAATTCTTCATGCATATCAGAAATTTCAGGAACAAGGCGATTAGTAAATGTCTCAATAAATTTTTTATTTTCTAGAAATGTGGAAATCGGAACAACTTCTTCGTATGATATTATTTCAACTGTATTGTCCTCGTATAAATCTTTCATCCATTTTATTAAATCTTCTGATTTCTTTAGGAACTTTTGTTCTGTTGTTTCAATGATAGGAAAATCGAAATCTACATTTTTAAATGGGGTTTCTTTCTGTAAATTAGATGCATCAAGCGCCCACGCCAAATGTGATTTTAAGTTCTCAATTTGTATAGAGTTTGCTTTAGTGAAATTTCTAATAATCAACTTTCCTCCAGCAAGTAGTTTCCTAGCGAAAAAATGGCCATATAAAGTATTTTTATTTTCAAATTTTAAATCATAAATTTTGTTAATTGATCCAGTGTATTTGATCGCAGCGATTGGGAATAAAATGCTTATGTCTGCATCAGAGATTATATTGTTTGCTGTTTCATTTGTCGATGAAAGCTTTGGATAAGTATCTCGCAATTTACTCCAGAATGATTTTGGTTTATTTAAACTATCATTAACTACAGCATACACTAATGGTTCACCTGAATATGTAATAATATCTAATTTTTCATTGTAGCATAAGATTATCTTATTGCTCGTAATAAAATTGTTTCCAGCAAGATACAGCCCATGGTTTAATTTCCATGCCTTCACTAATTTCTGATCCTCTGACAAATAATAATTCTTATTAACAATGATGATATTTTAAGATTCATTGGCTGAACTTATATATGAAAAGAGGTCTTATATACCTGATTCAACCTCCT